ATTAAAGAGATTCATTATTTGGCTTTTTATACCTTAGGCTTTTGCCTAATGAGGGAATGTATAAGCCATGTGTTTGTTTTTTTTTGTTTATATTATTATTGGACCTAAAGGCCGTGAAACTAGAGGGCATACAGTTGTTGCTGTTGCCAGGTTGTCACGCTCCCTTTCCAAGATAGAAACTTGTCGCCTTGTTTGTTTTGTCTTCGACGCTTCACTATCGAGTATACACTATTCCGGCTCATCGCATCAACATTGGTCCCACTGTCAACTTGTCCAGGAGCAAGCTGAACGTTTTGAATTCCTGTTTCCGGTAAAGATTTCCTCTCTCGAGTCTCCTTATCATTTGATGTCGGTAAAACCCGAGGGCAAGATTTGCCATCACTAAATGCTTCTATGCTCAACCGATGTATTTCAATAAAAGATATGTGACTTACATTAAGTTTAGCGTCCTGAAACCTCGGTCATGATTATATTTAATTTATAAGCGGTCTTGAATACATCCGCTATGTCTAATACCCGCAGTCTGTTAATTTAGATGGTTTATTATCTTCACAAAAAATACAAACATGAAGGAAAAAATGGGTTTTAATAAAAGACTTTGAAATATATAATAGACATTGAACTTAATGTTAATTATCACGCAGATTAGATAAGACATTGTAGTTCATTTTTTATAACGACAAAATATCAGTACATTATGAAACGCCCTCTATAATTATAAGATATGCAACCCATATTCACAACAATATCGCAGGGACTCATAAACTTCAATGTCCGCGTGTGCCTGTGTTTTAAGTGATTTCTACGGACAGCATACATGTTGGTGTTCAATTATCTGCATTCCAGAACACATGAAAACATATGGCATTTTAATGTTAATCGCTGGTAACTAACTAGTTAGTAATCAATATATGTATGAAATTGGCCACTATAATGTTTTATTGTGCTTTCCATTCTGTGTGATTTTTCAAGAAGGCCTAAGGTTACTTTTCAACACTGCATATACATCGACGAATTTATATGAGCTATTCTCACTGTGTATTTAAATCATAGTCTTTTCTTATTAATGTACAGTCCATAAGGAAAATTTCTTTACATTAAATGGACAAATTCGAAATCGGATAGGTCTATTCTGCGTATCGAATCCACAGAGCTTTGACTTATTACCATTAAGTTGTAATTGCATAAGCCAACATAGCTGAATATTGTCTATAAACTGATATATTTCAAAGAAAGAATTTTGTAATGAAAACTTTCATTACGAAGAACGGTGTGCATGACAAAGTATCAAATAAATACCGATA